TGAGAACCACTGCTCTAGAAGGTATATGTGTAGATGATCCTTGTTGTTTGCTGCACTGTTCCCACACCGCATATTGGCTTCAGTAGTGTGGACTCATCAGCGCAAAACACACTATCCTCAATATTTTCAGCAAGCTAAAATAACCAGAACTCTAAGCAATGCCACTTTGAATTCCATCTCCCAGATATGTTACCATTTGGACACTCTGCTGAGAGAAATAAGAAATCTGGGAACCATAAAGACAGCCTCCAACAAGATCTAAATTGACTCCTTCTCCTCCACCATATTTCTGCATCCCCCAAATGTGTATTCCTGCAAGCCTCTTCTTACTTAAAACCAATGAATAAACAACAGTCACATATAATTATGACTAACTCGCAGGCTGTACTTATGAGAGATTCAGCACAACTGGGGATAGTGAATTCAAGGACAGTTTGTTCCAGTTAGGTTAAAAAGCCAATTCCCAAAGTTCAAATTCTTCTGGGATGTGTAAAAGAACAGAGTGGCAAGAGAGGCTGAAGAACATTCTATTACAAGTTTTAATTGTTGTACGAACTCTTATGCCAGGACAATACATTATCCAAACATAAATGGCAATTAAAGAACAGAATGAACTCTGTTCTCATACAAACTGGTAAAGAGGTGGATCTGACTAGGATTATGGTGGAAGAAAGCAGTTATGGCCTTCCAGGCATGAATCAGAAAACTCTACGTAAGCATCCATCTTGTACTATTCTACCATTTTGTTGGTTTTCTCCACTACTTTCTAGATCTCTAAACTTTTCTTTGTTGTTGTTGTTGTTATTATTATTACAACTTTAAAAATTATACCATTTAAAAACCTACAAATATAAATATTAAAATAGAATTAAATGTTAAAATTATTAAAACAATTCAGTTTAAACCTCATTTAATGATTACGCAGGAATGACGAAACTTAAAGATACTAAATTGCACTCACAACACACTCTGTACTCTCTAAGATCTTCAGGCATTTTGGATCCTTAATAGTCTTCTATGAGTGGAAGATCTCTCCATTAGATTGCCCCCCCCCCTTTCCTCTATTCACAGACAGGCTCAAGATTGAGATAGTCTCAATGCATAACAGAAGAGAAAATGCAATTTTATCCTCTCTTCTTTGTCTGTGAAACCTTTATATTGTTTTAGAGTGCCTTTTAATCATCCAGAGCAGCTTTAGGAGGAGAACACAAAAGACTATACACAGAATCAACAAAGGTATCCCATTCAGGGATTGATACTCCTGCGAATGGGAGAAAACAGCAAGTCTGTCTGATATTAGATCTCCTATCTATCCAGTACAGGGTGAAATCACTGGTGCAAAAAAGAATATTTGGAATTTCAGTAAGGGAAACTGTTCTCTACACATCTCCCTCTATGTCCATCAGGACTGAGTGGAGAAAGATATTTTAAAAATCTACTCTCCCCACAAGAATATCCTTTGTTCTTTTTCTCACTAGAAAAAGAGCACCAGAAAACTTGGGCCGGGGGGGGGGGTATATGATCCACTACATCAATTCTTCCATTTCCAATTAATGACAAGGATGACATCAGTAAAACTAACTGCTTAAATACCACTACAACCTTAAAAGGCATCAGCAAAAGAATGTTTACTTTTGAAGTAGATGCACTGGATGAATCTCAAGGCTTAGGAAGAGCTTCTCCTTCTCTCACTGTTTATCCTAGGCTTAAATATCTTTCCTGCTTGACATATATAGAATAAATAACAAAGATTTTGTTCAAAATGTCAGTTGAAAAATGTTTTGCTGCAGTAGCATCCAACAGCCATAAATAATAGAAAGGATGTATGTAGAGAAGTTTAAGGCTGTTGAATAAAAAGTTTTTCTTTTTCTGTTAGCATGGCACATTTCAGTCTGTAATAGTTAATGGCTTTCTTCTGGTGAAGGCAACTTTAAAACCTCCTGAAACTTTACAAGAATAATATGATATATAATATATAAACATTTCTTGGGATTCCATGAGAAACTTTTGCTTCAAATAGGGCTCTGCGGCTAAAAAAGTTTGAGAACCCCTGCATTAGAAGATAGCTCACTGCAGAAAACATGGCAAACGTACATAAAATTTTGCATGATGTTGGGATGTGAAAACAACAAACTTTTTTCTTCCACTAAGATAAATGACAGCAGAAACAGGATAACCAGATACCCTCTATAACACATAATAAAATACATGGCTAAAAATGAGATGATACCCCAACAGCTTTAATTGTTTCAAGAAAAAAATCCTTTCCCCACTACAGCAAACAATAACTACAAGACAACAAAAGCAACAAGCAACAAAACAATTACCACTAATAAAAGGTCATGGTCCGCTTAAAGCAAAAGACTTTTCCCAAAGTTTTGTACAACATAGAACTATATCTTTGTTATCAGTACCATCAGAGAAGTTACTGGGATTTGTCACTTCTCACTAGCATAGCAACTATTTATAAGTATCACCAGCAGTATAAGTTCTTAAACAGCTTTTTGGCAGTTTGCTAACAGCTTTAGTGAAAAAATGTCAAGGTAGCTGGCAGTGGTTTGGAATTACACCAGAAAACAACTGGCAACATTGTTAATAAATATGCCTAAAAGGCTCCTCTCCACTGTGCCTGGGTTTGGAACTGGCCAAGTAATAAACTGCCTTATGCATGACTTCTAGCTTTGGCAGATTAAATTATATACCTCCAATACCAGCAATTGGAGGAGCAATCCCTAAAACACAATTCTTCCTTTCTTCACTCCCAGTGGCTAGGGAAGAGCTGCCATGCAAAGACTAATTCTGAATCTGGAGAAGGAGGCTGCCAACATGAATAGCTTCCTGCCATGTTGTGAGACGCTCCATTTTATCAAGAGACATTTCTTACAATTCTTCTTGTAAAAATGGCTTGGGGCTCATTCAAGTTCACCTAAGCAGATATTTGAGATGGCTGCTGAACCTGTAATTCTGTAAAATAAAAGAAACTGTATTGCAGACAATTGTCAAGGCCACATAGTACACACAGACCTGACACAGTGTAGTCTAATAGTGAAGAAGAGTCAACAAAAAGTCTGATAGAACTGGAAATATGCCCCCCCCCCCCAGAAGAAAACCTGTGACATATGATCACTGATAAGTCCTACTAGTAATGAGGGCTGGGCTGTAGCATAGCTGGTTAATCACCATCAGCAATAGATCTCTGCTGACTGGAAGGTGGCAAGTTCGAAGCCCGAGTTGGATTGAGCACCTGACTGTTAAGCCTAGCTTACTGCCCACCTAAGAAGTTCAAAAACAGCTGAGCTGTGAGTACAGAAATTAGGGACCACTTAAAAGCAGGGAGGTATTTTATGACACCATAAAAATGCTGGCGATCAAAGAACAAGGAGGAAATACACGATCAAAATGGCTCAACGTCATGGTGGATGAAGTGACAGCAACTCCCTGTGGACAACATAACCTCCAGGCGCTGAAGTTCAAATGCCAAAATACCTCTATCTGTCTGTGTCTTGTATGTCTAAAAACGGCACTGAATGTTTGCCATGTATGTGTGCATTCTGATCGGTGCTGTGTCCCCTTTGGGGTGAGAAAGGCGGAATATAAATACTGTAAATAAATAAATAAATAAATACAGAACACTTACAACATAAACTTTCTCACTACACTCTTTTATCTAGTCCATTTTTATTGCTTTAGGAAGATTATATCTTACCAAAACTTGGTATAGCATTAAAACCATAAAAACATATGGATCAAACTATGTCAAATGTAGCAATAACAGCAACAAAAACTATTTCTGGAAAAAATAATTCTAGTACATCACCAATAATTCACAAATTCAAAATTTAGTTTTTAAGCCCTCTTTACCACAGACATAAATTGAGTCATAACATAGGATAAGGGGCACTGTTGAACAGGCCCAGTCTTTATTGCTTGTCAATCTTATTGACCTTAGCAAACAGGGTGTCCAAATCTGATCTTAAAAGAAGGGTGCATTCACAAATCTGCAAAAAACCTATATCCCTATATTTATGATTTTAACTGTAAGCAATTTTAACTAGGCATAAATACCTACTTTCAGCTACTGCAGGAAGAAGAGAATATGTGCAGTATCGTCTGACTATCTGATCATCAACAAGGGCTCATGTTTCTAAAATGTCTTCAATTACAGTAGCCCAGTCCTGCTTAATTGGCACATGCACTTTCTTTGGATCACATCACAGCTGCTTATCAATGAAAGCTAATAAAAAGGCATTCTGGTTACTGATGTAAATCAGCTATGAGTCAAGAAGAACCACCAGATCACAATGTCAAAGGTACAAACCAATACCAGTTGGATCATTCTATTGAGATCAACAGAATCCCCCATCAAAAGAATAACTGGACGATAGCATGACTGGGGATGGACAGGAGCTGCTGCCCCCTGGAAATGCCAGTACCATAGAATCAGGTCCTATCTGTGGGGACTCATGGCATTCTGCTGAGAACTCCCTCATCCCAACAGTCACATCCAACTCCCCTACTCTTCCTTTTTTAGGCAGAAAAGCAACTCTCTGGGTTTTTAGGTTTTGACAGTTCTTCACCTAATCTTTCACACGTTTGATTACATAATTACAAACATGGGTTCTAACTGAAGCTTCATGCTTAAATCAACTTGCTAGGTGGTTCTAAGTAAGCCATTATGCAATCTCTCATATCAATCCCAGGAACAAAATTAGAGTTAGAATGAAAAAGTGGCCTGTTTTACAGGGATGTGAATTATTGCCATAAAATAAATGCAGGATAAGTATTTAAACAACCTAAAGTATTGTGTAAGTTCTTCCTTCTCACAGAACAGTTTGTTTTGTGATGCTCTGGGAAAACTGAAGTTGGTTAATTCTACTTTGTTTTCATATTACTATAAAATAAATCAACATGCTCTCGTGTTTGTATATTACTAGTTTTGCAGTGATTAATTTAGAAATCATTGATATGCAACATCAAATTAAATTAACAAGCAATGCTACCTGATCTAGGTTTTTGAAGAGGAGGATATCTTTACAAGCTTCCTGCAACCTGCACCTTTGCTCATCTGTTTTGGGGTGGACTACCTGCAAAACATAACAAAGCAAAATAAATATTTGAACTCTGGAAAATTGATTATAATCAGGATAAATAAATAGTCATTAAATGTCCCTTATTATTCTGTGCTCCAAGCTTATTTGGGAATATTGAGGGAGGAAATTCCAAATTATAATTTTATTATTGCTTTGACAGTAATTGAGCAATATGTGAACAATCTTGGAGTTATCACAGTTCTGCTCTCTCCTAAATAACATAAAAAGGATGATCACAAGTTGGATATGCATTGGATGTGATTTTCCTGCTTCTTGGCAGGGGGTTGGACTGGATAGCCCACGAGGTCTCTTTCAACTCTATGATTTTATGATCAAGCTCATGCAATGGAAAAGCCTCAAGGTACAATTTCTGGAGAGCTTTTGTTCTGAATTTGTAACAATACACAAATATGTCAAATAATAAAGTACTAGCCGTCCCCTGCCACACGTTGCTGTGGCCCAGTCTGTGTTTATGTGTTTTGTGTGTGTATATATATATGTGTGTGTGTGTGTGTGTGTGTATATATATATTTGTGTATATGTGTATAAATGTGGTTTTGTGCCTGCATTGTAATGTATTTTTATTTTTTGGCTTTTTAAGTCTCTTCTGCTGTGTTTTTCAGTATTTTTATGAGTGATGGTCACTTGTTGGCCTAATAGTTGTATTGTGTCCAAATTTGGTGTCAATTCACTCAGTGGTTTTTGAATTATGTTAAATCTCACAAACGAACATTACATTTATATTTATATAGATTATTGCTTCATTTTGTTTTATAGTTGGAGGTGTCTGATGTTAAAGAAAGAAAAAAGGCAGACTGGGTATAAACTGCATATTACAGAAGGAAATTCTATTCCATTAATCTATGCAATAAAATGCTATAGTTTGTTTCTTTTTTCTTACCCTTGGTTCTGTATCTTCATCTTCTTCATCTGGGTTATATGCTTCTGCACAGACTTTAAAGAAAAGGAAAGACTTGTTTAAAAGGTGCTTTTAAGATTGACACCATGTACATGACAACAATAAACTTTGTACCCATACATCAATGCCATGTTGCACTCAATACAATGTGTATGGTAAGTGTGGCATGGACATTATTTCAACAGCATTGTTTCTATGTTCAGTTAAATACCTTAATATGGCAGTAAAAAAAGAGAGATATTTCTCTTAGCTATCAATATCCCATGTCACAATTATGACAGATGAATTCAGAACTATAAGTTTGAATGCTCTGGTGAGTTACGCTGAAATGACTAGTCCTGATAAAAATGAAAATTAAATTATTACCAGATGCAAAAGTCCTGCTCTAAGGAGAACATGGATGACTGTACTCTAAACTATTGGAAATAATACTGGCAATGAATGTTGTATCTTTATAACATTACTATCCTGGAGAAATGAAGATTAATAGGAATTAACTATGACAAATCAGTCATGACAACTAGGTATACATACACTGCTAGACACAAACTGACATATGTTTTCTATCATTGGACAACACTGTGTGTTTCCCAGGAATACATGGTTAGCTAGTAACTGAGACAAAATCAATGGCCTAAATGCCTTTTTGGTGTGATCCAGAATGGAAAGCCTTAAATTAGGTTGTCAGACCGACTTGAGAAGTGTCCTCTCTTTCTAAAATATTCTCCCTGCCAGCCTTCTACAACAACGCACAAGGCAGTACAATTGTAAAACCAGCATAATATAATATTTCCTGCCAATTATTTTGCAAGGACAAAATGTTTCTGATCTTTTCATATGCAGTTTTTCCCTAACCAATATTTTTCTTTTCATTCTTCATGAACTTTCCTTACATAGTAAATGGAAAAATGTCCTAAGGATGGTCAGAGCTAGAAATCATATTTGTTTTCATCCTATTCTTCTATTCTTCTTCTCTTTAGCCTTTGCTACTGAGTCCGCACCATTAAGGATTTCCCAGAAACCATAATTTGCATTATATTCACTGATCTGACAATACAAAAGTCTTGGCAGACTGCCCAGTTTACTACAGAGAATAAGCTTAAGGAAAAGGAGCAGAGGAAAGTCGTCTCTTTCTGAAAATCTGAAATGAACTCTACCATCCAGAAACTTAAACACAGATTGCAATTTTGACAAATTAGAAAGATGTACATGAAGGCAGATATGTTTTTTAAATGTTCATATATACTCCCCTATGGAGAATAATGAAAGCACTGTCAATCTGTTAGCTAAGAACTCATTCATTCAGGAAATAAAACACTTAATTCAAATATTAGCAAATACAGATAATATCAACAAGAGAGAGAAAAGGTTATTAAAAAGTAACTATCTTACCAAAAATTACTGGCAAGATTTACTATTAAACTGCTTTTTAGGTAAATAATTATAATGATTATAATCCCTGTGGTTTCACTTACGTAACATAATTTTTGAATGAGTGCAGGAAAGATACAAGAACAGACATGATACCAATTCATTATCTAGCAGAAAGGTAAATATTGTCATTACTGCCATCTAAAAAGAAATTACTTTAAAATGGGTTGACGAATTGAAATCTAACAGTTATTCTAAGTGACACAGCCAAAAGCCAAAACATCTTTCTCAATTTTGTATTTTTTCCCTACGTTTCACAGAGAATGTAAAAAGGTAAGCACCTTTCAATCTGAATAGATATGTTGACCATTCCCACTGCCTTGGCAGCCATCTCTCCACAAAAGTCAACATCGACACCGAAGTACAACTTGGTCCGAACTCTGTGAGTGCTCAAATGTTTGAGGATCAGGACATTTGTAGGGATCCCAAAATGCTTGTTTATAAAGCTATAATCCTTCCAACACCATTATACATGAAACATGGACCATCTACAGACGTCACTCACAACTTATGTAACAATTCCATCAGCGTTGCCTCCAAAAAATCCTGCAAATCTCTTGGGAATACAGGAGGACAAATGTCAGCATTCTAGAAGGAGCAAAGACCACCAGCATTGAAACGATGATCTTCCGCAATCAACTTCGCTGAACTGGCCACATTTTCCAAAAGCGCAATCATTGTCCCCAAAAGCAGTTACTTTATTCTCAACTGAAGAACGGAAAATGGAATGTTGGTGGACAGCAAAAGAGATTTAAAGATGGGTTTAAAGCTAACCTTAAAAAATATGACATAGCCACGAAGAACAGGCCTGTTGGTAACTGGAGGTCCGCTGTTACCAACAGTTCTTTGGATTATGAAGAGGCATTAATAGAGGATGACAGGGAGAAATGTGTCAAGAGGAAAGAGCATCAAGCCAACCTTTGTCGGGACCACCTGCCATCTGGAAATTGATGTCTTCACTGCGAGAGAATATGTGGATCCAGAAAAGGTCTCCATAGTCACTTATGGACCCACCGCCAGGGCTCTACACTTGGAAGGCAATCATACTCAGCCCCAAGTGATAGCCTATGATGATGACTTCCGGCAATGATGGGCTGAATATAGTTGGTCTATAGTTCCTCTAACCAAAATGAAACTGACAGAGTCTTACCAGAGTCTTATAGATTTTTTTCCTTCTACAGAGAATTTTCCACATAACACTGAGACACACCATTTGCTTTCTAATGTGTTAAAATCTTGCCTACCTCTGATCCCTATCCTCAGAGCTAAAAACTCACATGATAGTCACAACCCACTTTGGCTTTGCAAATTCAAAACATGATCTTGTTCATGTGGAACCTGAGCCTGGGGCACGATCGACACTTTGCCAGCATTGATAAAGTTTCTAAGAAATAAAGTATTTATATTATTTATTATTTATTTAAAACTTTTATATACCATTCTTCTCTAACCTCTGTAGAGGGACTCAGGACGGTTCAGAGGGACTCAAGTAAGTAAAAACTTTATTTCTATCTTGCCCTATCTCCCCATAGGGACTCAGGGTGGTTTAAAACATAAAAGGCAAATATTCAATACAGTAAAATACAACAACAGATTAAAACTATTCAAAATAAACAAAACAGAGCATTCAACAATAAATAGAAGATATATCTCTCTTTCCCTTTCCCCTTTTCTCCCCGCAAATTTGACATGTGTTCAGTCCAACAGGAAAGCACAAAGATAAAACTAGCTAAAGCACCTTGGCTACGAACCTATTTACCTCTTGCTCAGATATATGTGTAGTAAACTATATAGAGGCACAGAACATAATATTCAGTAGAAAAGGACACAACAGGAGTACATGAATTAGCAGTTGAACTACCTGAAGTGCTTCATAATTAGACTGATTTCCCCATGAAGGCTTGAGATTAGCCAATGTTTTGTATGTTATCCAAGGGTTATGGTGGGAAAGGAGTCTATAGCATATGATTGTAGGTAGTGCTTGAGTTTTCTCCATTTTTTTTTTAGTTTCATGGGAGTCCAGTGTCCCTAACCTCCCACAAAGGTGGATTGCTGACATCATTTTCCAAGAAAAAACCTCCCTTTAATTAAATCAAAGAGGAATTGTATGAAATTAGTGTCTTCTACACTGCGGGTCCATCTACAGTGCAGAATTAATGCAGTTCGGTATCACTTCAATTGCCATGGCACAAATTCCATAGCACTGAGCCATAGAAGTTTCCCTAATGTATCGTGCATTAATTCTATGGTTCATCTGGATGAGGAGGAACAAGCTGAAGATCAATCCTGACAAGACAGAGGTCCTCCTGGTCGATCGTAAACCGGATCGGGGTATAGGGTGGCTACCTGTGTTGGACGGGGTTACACTCCCCCTGAAGCCACAGGTCCGCAGTTTGGGTGTCCTCTTGGATTCTTCGCTCACACTTGAGGCTCAGGTGTCGGCGGTATCCGGGAGGGCCTTTGCACAATTGAGACTTGTGCGCCAGCTGCGACCGTACCTCGCGAAGGCTGATCTGGCCGGGGTGGTCCATGCCTTGGTCACCTCTAGAATGGATTACTGCAATGCGCTCTACGTGGGGCTGCCCTTGAAGACGGCTCGGAAACTTCAATTGGTCCAGCGGGCAGCAGCCAGGATGCTAACCGGGGCTCATTATCAAGAGAGGTCTACCCCTCTGTTTAAGGAGCTCCACTGGCTGCCATTTATTTTCCGAGCCCAATTCAAGGTGCAGGTGCTCACCTACAAAGCCCTGAACGGTTTGGGACCACCCTACCTGCGTGACCGCATCTCCATCTATGAACCCACACGCTCGCTCCGGTCATCTGGGGAGGCCCTGCTCGTGATCCCGCCCACGTCGCAAGCGCGCTTGGTGGGGACACGGGACAGGGCCTTTTCTGTGGCGGCCCCCCGACTTTGGAACGCCCTTCCAAAAGATCTTCGACAGGCCCCTACTTTAGCAGCTTTCAGAAAGAACCTAAAAACTTGGCTGTTCCGATGTGCCTTCTCAGATTAAGAATTCCCCATCCCAAGTCCTAGAAGCACTTTAGTATAATTAATATTGCTGCACACCGCACTATTTTAATCCTACGTGCCTCCTGCCATTTCAGCACTTTTAACCCTGTACCCCATTGCTCTGGCCGGCCCAGTTTTAAAGTGTCTTGATGTATTGTTACTGTTGTTGTTATTTTGCTTAACTATTTGATTTGCTTTGTTTATTGTTGTGTTATGTTTTTTTACTGTATTGTGTTCTGAGGCTTCGGCCTGTGTAAGCCGCATCGAGTCCCTCGGGAGATGCTAGCGGGGTACAAATAAAGTTAATAATAATAATAATAATAATAATAATAATAATAATAATAATATAGGCCAGGAAATCATTTTTAATGGATATAATTCGAAGATACATAAATGGCTACGAATTGTAACTTAAATCTAACAGAATTGCTGTTGACCAGGAAGATGAGGAGATAGAAAGAGATAACTCATTTCTGGATGGTCTTGCAAACTCCTTCAGAAACAGCAGGTATATAATGTGAAGCCTTTTAAAATGCTTTCAAAATAATTTTGTTCAATCTGGTTCTGCAAGTTTATTTTAATTCTTAACTGTTC